GCGCAGAGTCCTTAGGAGCCAGGGTGACTCCCTGTCTGGGTGGCAGACAGAACTGATAGAGAAGGGACCAGAGCAAAGCTGTTCCTGGGGATGGATGGGCAGGAGGATGCTACAGGGGCCAACAGACAGGCATGGGGGTACCCTGTCCACATAGCTGTATCTTGAGAGCTGTTTGGTAGTGTGGAGAATTGCACATGGAAGACAGTGCATGCAAAGCCCAGAGATCTAGGGACCCTTGGGGTCCTCTTTTAGGTCCCAGTTTTTCCAGGGTAGAAACCAGTTCAGAAACACTTTAGACCTCTGGGAGAAAGATTTAGAAAAAGCCTCAGCTGGGAAGAAGAGAGAGAAAGTGAGGGGAACGGTGTGTCCGCTGTCTTTGATTGGGTGCCCACCATGTCTCAGAGAGTGGCAGGCATCTTCTGTCTGTGGCCCTTGGACAGGTTTGTTTCCTTGATGTGGAAGGCAATGTTCAGAAATGCATTCTCCCTCATGGAAACGTCACAGCTCACCTGCAGTGGGACCAGCTCACAGCCAGGGTGTAAAGCCACCCAGGAAAGCAGGCTTTCTGCTTCCATTTAGTGAGTTCCAAGTCTTTGCTGTTTCCATAGGAAGCTTCATGGCAATGGTAGGAGCCTGAGGTGCCTTTGCCCTGGCTCACAGCTCTGATTTTCTGTCTTATGGAAGCACCATCTTGCATACCATATTAGTCAGCAAAGGTCACCCCTGTTCCTCAGCATGCTGGAGACTTGTTGAGCTGAGAACCTCATTCTTCTTGGGACTCTGTTTCAGGCTTCTGAACAAACAAACAAAACTCAAAAGCCTTCTCCCAAGTTTAAGCAGAGCTAAAGAATAAACAGCCCCTGGGGTGGGTAGGGAGGGCAGGCACAGCCTATAAAATGTCCATCAACCTGGGAAGGTCCTACCATACCCACCAAGCTACCCACTCTCCCCCTCCTTGAGATAACGCCTCACTGTGTAGACTGGACTGGCCTAGAATTCACCATCCTCCAGCTCCGGCCTCCTGAGAGCTGGGAGCAGAGATGTCTACCAAGCCCAGCTAGTTCCTCCTCCTCCCAGTGCAGTCTCCTGACACAGTTTCCTAGATTCCGTTCCTCAGTTGAGACCCCAGCCCTTCATTATGTTTTTGAAGTGAGAACACTTGAGAAAGACTGTTGGGGAAGACTTTGGCAAGCCTGGGAAAACCGCAGAGCCTGTGAAACTATGGGCTTGAAGAAGGCGCCGAGAATCGTTGCCAGCAGCTGCTGCCTTTCCTTCAGCCCACCAGTTCTGTGTTGTGAGTTGGAGAAGATTCCCATGGATGTTATGAGCAGCTTTTCTGGGCACAGTAGGTACAACAAGCTCTGGAAAGTGTAGCATCACGATGTAAGGTAAACAAACATACGAGATGAGAAAGAGCGAGACCATATTTATGGTCTAAGAGTGTCTGGGAGCGCCGTGACACCGGTGGATAGAGGGGACAGTTTCTTGTAGGGAAGCAATGGCTGTGCGTCCCAGTGCTCAACTAGAACCTTGGAAATCTAGCAGGTTCCACTGTCATCCCCGTGACTCCCTTTCTGAATTGCGAGTTGATTTGTTTCTTCCTTTGCAGCTGGAATGTTGTGTCCAGCCTGGTCCTCTCTACATCACTTTTTATCCCATGACATGTAGCATCCTGATGACAGGTAGAGACAGACTGTGATGTCAGCCTTGAAAATCAGCCCAGCTCTGCCAGTCATATAGAGAATGGGTGGGGAATCCAGACCACAAGGATCCGGCCGTCTCCGCAGCGGGGTGCTTATAATTCAGTCGTGGTGTGAGGCTACCATGCTGGGGAATTTGCTTTCCCTAGAGACTGACTCCAGGCTGGAGGAGCACATGGGTTAAGGGCCAGCTTTTCCTTCATGTTGGTCTTCCGTATTCCTCTTTACTCAGTACTTACAAAACAGCATGCCTGTGGGTGTGTCTTTTCTTCTCCTCATCCATCTTGGTTGTGTTCAGTGTCTGGCACACTGCGGCTCTCTCATCTTTTTGTCTGTGATTGTATACAATCAATGCAATTATATGCTGCAAGAATGCTGGATTTAGGAATTATAAGAATTAGGTCTCAAAATGGACTGGATTTTTTGTATTAATCCTTGAATATTTCACTTATAAGATTTCAGTTAATACTACTTTTCAGGCAGATACTCTGAATATGAGGAACTTTATAAACAAAGGTTGTAGAGTGTTTTCCTAGCATGCACAGACCCTGAGTTTGATTCCTGGCATGATTCACATGTACACACATACAGAGAGAGAGAGAGAGAGAGAAATTAAATAGGAATAAATAATTAAATTTTAAAATAAGCAAACGATATGAACAGATGCATTGCTAAAACAGAGAGGTGGATGACAGGCACGCACCTGGAAAGGTATTATTACTTATGAAGGGAAAATGTGAATTAAAACCACCATGAGATACTCCCTATATCTGTTAGGGTCTAAACTAAGAATGTAGACCAACAGACAGGAGGCAGCCATTGAGCAAGGGGCCCCAAGAAATATTGGAAGCAATCCGTATGCTCCTTGTTTTAATTGGGGTGATGATATTCTAGAGGTGGGCTAATATCAAAACTCACCAAATTGTGCATGGTAAAAATGCAGTTCCTAATAAGTTAGTCACGCTTCAGATAACTTGAAAATAGCTTGTCAGTGCTTTCTGCAAGTCATGTGGTTTCTGAAAGTAAAAAACAAAACACATTATTTATCTTCCATTTGAGTAGGGTGCTTTCTCCCTCTAAATATTAATGTTAGAAAGGAGCTTTGCTATCCCCTGGGAGGTTCCACTGTGCTGCATTCTGGGCTGTTCCGGTAACCATAACTTATTAATTGCAGCACTCTCTCTGAGCAGGAAGGGGAGCCTGAGAGGAAGGGGTTTTTGTTTTGTTTTTTGTGGGTTTTTTTTTTTTTTGAGACAGGGTTTCTCTGTAGCTTTGAACTCTGTCCTGAAACTTGCTCTGTAGACCAGGCTGGCCTCGAACTCACGGAGATCCACCTGTCTCTGCCTCCTGAGTGCTGGGATTAAAGGTGTGCACCACCACCACTCTGCTGAAATATGGAGACTTACCTATTTGTTTCTTTTTCGTTGTTTTGGTTTTGGTTTTTGGTTTTTGAGACAGGGTTTTTCTGCAGCTTTAGAGCCTGTCCTGGAACTCACTCTGTAGACCAGGGAGATTGCTTGCCTCTGCCTCCCATGTGCTAGGATTAAAGGCATGCGCCACCACCGCAGTTTTAAGGCGCACACAGACAGGAGATCTTTAGGGTGTTCTGTATTCCAGCAATGGGGAAGGTACTTGCAGTTCGGTACAGCAGTATGGGCATTCTCTAAAGTCTCATAGAGTGTGTCTGTGTTCAAATTCTGCCTGCAGTGGTGTTGGGGGCCTTGTGATATTTCCGGCTTCAGATAGATCTGGTTGCCTTTTAGACAGCTCTTGCTCAGTACTTAGGACATCTATTTGATGAACACCTTAGTCCATTCCGTGGTCTCTCAGCCATCTTATTTTGTCTTTCTGGTACCGCACACATTTTTTGTTTTGCGTGTATGTGATGTGTATGTGATGTGTATGTGTTTGTATGTAGATGCGTGTGTGTGTGTGTGTGTGTGTGTGTGTGTGTGTGTGTGTGTGTGTGTAGGTTCACTGCGTGAACTCATGTGTGCAGAAGACCAAAGTTAAGGTCAGGCGTTTTCCTTGACTTCGCTTTATTTGTTGAGGCAGAGTTTCTCACAGAGCCCAGAGCTTGTCAGTTAATTTCAGAGAGTCTGACCTGCCAGTTTCCCCGGGAATCCCCTGACTCTGCAACCCAGAGGCTGGGATTATAAGAGGCCACCATGTCTGCCTGGCTGGTGTATGTGTTCTGAGGTTCTAAACTCTGGTCCTCATGTTTTTATGGCAGACTTTATCCACTGAGCCACTGCCCAAGCCCACTCTACTCTCCTTAGGAACTTGACAGGGCTCTTTATGGAAGGATCTTCACTCAGTTTGGCTTGGGGCCCCTTAGGCCTCTGTTTCCTGGTAGTGACCTTGCCTGCACCATGAACCTTTCTGAGCTCAGCACCGCCAAGCTCCCAGGCGACTGAGGGTGAAGTGAGATCATGTCCCTTAGTTTACAGGTGTCCTGCTTTCTCATTCTTCACACAAGACGCTGCTGGACAAGTCCCACAGCAGGGTTGGTAAAAAAGCATTTGTGTGGTGTAGACTATCCTTGGAAGAGAGCAGGAACCTTGTCGCCTGGGGCAGCTTTCCTTGACCGTTTCTCATCAGTCTTGTAATATTATTGGTGTCAGTTCCAACACTATGACAGCCCCTGACGTGTTTTTGACACCTGCCCCCAAAATGACCACAGGAAAAGGTGGGTACCGACCCAGAGCAGAAACCTGGGTACTTGAGCCAGGCCACCTCAGAACTGGAGGCAGTAGTACCATGCCTGTCCCTACCTAACTCCTCAACTTCATTCACTGGAGCTCTGGCTCAGACTCCAGAATAAGCTGTTTAATCTGGAGTCTCGGATATGATGGAAGAGCTGGAAATATACAAATCAGCCACGGGGCACAAACAGACTTTGCTGAGCTCACGCTGGCCTGCGGCGGGTTCCCTGGCGGCCGAGGCAGAGCAAGAGCGCTGTACAGCTTGGAGCTCCACGGTGGCATTGGCCGCATGTGCCCGGCTCCAGCTTCAGCGACCGCACCTGCAGCTCGGTGACCTGTGGGGCTCGGAGGCCTGTGGGGCTCGGTGGTGCCCCCCCCTCAAACACACCCCGGGATCTTGGTGCTGGGCTTTCCCGCCTGGCGCGATAATGGAGTGAAAATGACCCTATGGCGTTAGCGGCGCGCAGGGTCGGGGCGCCGGAGCAGTCGTACGCGGAGGGGGGTGGGAGGCGGCTGTATTTTTAGCCAGATGCCTCGTAAGTTGCCCGCGCGCCCCGCGCCGCCCAGCAGATAACGCCGAGGGAGCTCCGGTGTCAGCGGGCGCCGGGCGATGGCAGCACGGCCGCGCAGGTCGGGGACAGACCCCGCGGTG